GTAGACACGGGGTTTCACCATGTTGACCAGGATGGTCTCGATCTCTTGACCTCGTGATCCACCCGCCTCGGCCTCCCAAAGTGCTGGGATTACAGGCTTGAGCCACCGCGCCCGGCGGTCCTTTCTTTTTGTTTTTTTTGAAACAGTCTCCCTCTTTCGCCCAGGCTGGAGTGCAGTGGCATGTTCTCTGCTCACTGCAGCCTCCACCTCCCAGGTTCAGATTAAAGTGGTTCTCATGTCTCTGCCTCCCAAGTAGCTGGCATTACAGGTGTGCGCCACCATGCCAGGCTAATTTTTGTATTTGTAGTAGAGACGGTGTTTCACCATGTTGGCCAAGCTAATCTTGAACTCCTGACCTAAAGTGATTGACCTGCCTTGGCCCCCACAGTGCTGGGATTACAGGCGTGAGCCACCGTGCCTGGGTGTTGGGTCTTTTCTTTGGACATGTTATCTTGTAACTGTGCATGACCTGAGGAAAAATACTTTCAGGGCAGGGCTTGGGGTTTTGTGGAGGACAGAACTGCACAAGCTATGCTGCGCTCCTGGCCCTGCACTGGCTGCTGGGTGGGAAACTGGAGTTCTTTTGGGGACTTTTCAAAGTAATCTACCAAGAAACATCGGTTTCTGTTCACTGATGATGTGGAGCTCACATTTAGGAGAAGCTTTAGGAAACATGGCTTTTCCTTTTGCCATCTTTTATATGTGCCTGCCTGCACATAGCACCCACTGGGCATGCAACTGGACGGTTGTGGGGGGCAGTGCATAGGGGAGCAGCCAGGCGTGGCCTGAGGGCAACACGCCTTGGGTCCTGCTACATCGGAGCTTCACCTACAGGCACATCAGGCCTGGGGGTGAGCCCTCCTGATGTGGCTTTGATGTAGGCAGAACTGTTGAAAAATGTAGACAGAATGAGAAAACATACGGAAGAAGCAGAGTGAGTATCAGGGAATTATTCTGTCTTTAAATCCCACTCTATAAGGATCAAGGGCAAGAGGAAATCCCGAGTATTTTTCCTCTTTCCTAAGGAAGCTGTCCCTACAGACACTGACCTGTGTGAAGTGATTTTCTGGGAAACACACATTCCGACAGGTTATTGCTGTTTGCAGTGTTAGGGGAGTTAGTTTAGAGGAACTGTCCAAATTCTGTTGATGAATTTGGATTTGATTTTACTGACCATTAGCTCAGTAAGAAACATCAGCCGATACCTGGAAGACTGTGAGAGACGCTGGTGGAAAGAGGTGTTACTTCTTGTATTGGAATTTTACCCATGTTGTCATTACTGGTAGTTACTTAATTCAAGTTAACCTTGGATTAGGCCGTTTCCCCAGGACAGATGAAGGTGGTGGCAGCGGTGACCTCGTCTTGGAAGCTGCCTTCCCAGCGTGAAGTCTGTTTTCCTACCCCGGGGACCAGTCAGCCCAGCTGGGAGATGGATGGCCTCCTGCTCACCGCCTGCCTGGTGCTGGCCACTCCACCTGGCCTTGTGGAATGTGCATGTGTCCCTGGCCATCTTTCTTTTTTAATAGACACGGGTTTTGCTGTGTTGCCAAGGCTGGTCTCAAACACTTGGGCTCAAGTGAACTGCCTGCCTCAGCCCCTGCAAAGTGCTGGGATTACGGGCAATAGCCACTCCGTTCCCTAGGCATCTTGACACAGTTGTATCCACATGGGGGCAGAGGTTTTGCTGACCCTCTGAGGGAAGGTCCTGTTGGTGGGTCTATGTGGGACTCTTCAAGTGCAGGTCCTGTGTGGTGGGTCTGTGTGGGACCCTGAGAGTGCAGGTCCTGTTGGTGGGACTGCGTGGGACCCTGTGAGTGCA